GGGAAAAAAGAGACACCTAGAGAGAGAGATCTTCAATGGCAATAGGGAAAATCATATAAGGCTAAAGAGAGAAACAAGAAGGAAAAGAAAAAAATCAGTGCTACTGCAGCATCCATCAGAGAATGTAATTTTCAGCTGAAAATCTCACTCTTGACTGGAGGCTGAGAATGGTAGGATATGCAGTCTGAAATACTATGAAATCAGAATAATCTGTTTTCTTTCCATACAAAGGTATTCAGCTAAGCTTAGAGCTCAAAATCATAGAATCATAGAATCATAGAATCATTGAGGTTGGAAAAGACCTCTAAGATCATCGAGTCCAAAAAGGGGAAAAAAATGGCTTGTGTTCAGTCCAAAATCAATTTTTTGTTTATTCTTATCACCAAAATAAAAGCATTTTCCTTATAAGCCAAACTCAGTTAAATTTTGAAACTAGTCATTACTTTGAATTTTAAAATTACAATATTTTATTTTCAAAATGTCAAACCACACTGCTGTGGCTGCTACAAATTTTGAAAGGTATTTTTCAGCTGAAGTCTCCATACAGTTTCCATACATACCTTCAGTTAACCTGAATTTTCATTTTTCATATAATAAACTATTCAAGTAAAACACTGAATTCACCTCTAATCTTAGCGTGGGTAGGGAGAGCAGTCAGGTGAAAGCTGAACAACCAACCCAAGGCCTGGGAGTTTGACCTTTAGACTCTGAAAGATCAGTGATTTGGTCTTTTAACTTAGCTTTGGATGTAAAACATAGATGCAACAAACCGTACATGATAAAGGAATATTGGTTAAGTTTTATGGCTTTGCAATCCAGGACATTATATTAGATAAGCAGAATCAGCTTTTTCAACTTGAAAAATCTATTTATATTAGCATTTGAAATTTAGCATAAGTATCCTGTTCATCCCCAACATTATATATATGGATTATATGCTTATATAGGCAATTATTGTTACACTTCAAAACAGCAGCAGCAGATAGAGATTAATGTCATTTTATGGAATGAATACAGAGTGCACTGCTACAGGTTTTCCACTGAAAAATTAGATATGGAAATGGGCACGCTTGTTGGTCAAGCTACCACGTCTCCTGAAAGGACAGTTCTCTGAGTACTGAGTTTAGGTATGTTAGAAGGCAAAAATGACAAAGATGCCCATTAAGATGAATGGGTGGAGGAAGCCAAAGCAGCAGAAAAAAATGGGGAAAAAAGAGACACCTAGAGAGAGAGATCTTCAATGGCAATAGGGAAAATCATATAAGGCTAAAGAGAGAAACAAGAAGGAAAAGAAAAAAATCAGTGCTACTGCAGCATCCATCAGAGAATGTAATTTTCAGCTGAAAATCTCACTCTTGACTGGAGGCTGAGAATGGTAGGATATGCAGTCTGAAATACTATGAAATCAGAATAATCTGTTTTCTTTCCATACAAAGGTATTCAGCTAAGCTTAGAGCTCAAAATCCCCTTTAGCAATGTTCTCAGTAAATACCCCAAGTATGAGAACATTAAATAAAAATTCAGAAATAATTCGTATTCTCATCAGAAACCAAATAAGTCACGTATGTTCTAATTCAGTGGCTTTGACTATAGATTCTGAGTGTCCTTTCCACTACCCTCACAGTTTAGCTTACAGATTTTAGTATTTTTATTATATTTGGATGTTTCTTGATAATCTCTCATGTTTGTAAGTTTACTATATAACGTGAAGAACTGTAATTACATGAAGAAGGTCAATGTTGCAGATTGCAGAGTTGTAAAATTATTTTTTTTTAAATAAAATCAAACCCTCCTAACACTACTACCCATCTGACTTCAATCCATGATACCAGTCCAACAATCAATCACCAGGGGCATTGGACACCCATAATTAGATTATAAAATCATAACTATAGTCATTTTACGTCTGCTTGCATAATTACATCAGCATGCTAATATCCTTTTAATGGTCTCTAATGATGTAATAAGAAATAATGGAATTTATTTGACAGCTACATAACCATTAACAAAACATATTAAGCATAACTATTACTTCCATAAAGATTCAGGCTGTATCCAAAAGTGACAGCTAACATGTTGGATCTTTTCTTCCACATTGAAATATTTCTAATTATGAATTCCCCAAATCTATTCCCACTCATCTGCTTCACTGGGCGAGCAAAGTTTATGTCAATGCAAACTTGACAACAAACCAACTGTAGAAGTGGACTGAAAGCTCTGGGAGCCAAGCCTGAGGCTATACTGTGAATTGCAGGCCATCGGTTAAAGTTGGCAGGATTGTGAATGAGAGAAGATAAGATAAACTGATTACTACCATGCATCAACTAATCAAGAACTAACCCAGGAATCAGTAGGAATCCACGGCAAAAGCAATTGTTCACTTGCCAAACTCCAAAGCACAGGAAAAAACTAAAAATATAGGAAAGAACGAAAGATATTTGCAGACAAAACTAACTAAAGGTAGTAATGTATTTGTGAAGCAGTCCCTTTAAAATTAATTTTTTTTCAGAGAAAAGGACAAGAAACTCTTAATTGAGAATTTAAAGAACTTCAGAAGAACTCACCACTCACCCTCTCCTCAGTTCTTCTTACACTATTCCTATTGAATGTGATGGCTTTGTCTATACTCTCAAATTAACCCTGATTCTCAGTAACATGTCTTTACTCTGAAATCTTTGCAATAGTCTAAAAAATTCAGGCCTACACTGTTACTTTCTTACCATTCAGAATTCTTGGAAGGAAAAGAGAGAATTGAGAATTTTACACCAAGCTAATACTCAGGTTGGCGTTCAAAGTAGACTTTTTAAAAAACTGAATCCCTAAGAAAAAGACTACTTTTAGCTGCAAGTAAAATAAAATAATTTATATTGCCCATGATGCCTTAGGCCAAGTAGAAAGCATATTTTCTGAGATGCCTCATTCTCACACACTGATATGTCAAAGGTAGATTAAGAATAACCATGACATCAAGTCTTTCCTGAAACCCCTCTCCATGATGCTACTCAGAAGCCAATCAGAGCCTTCAAATTCATACAGTTTTCCAACAATGGCTGTGTAAAGATGACAAAAGAACAAATCCAAAAAGCATTAATTCTTTGCTTGGTAAGGCCTTTTTCTAAAGCCTCTACTACTGCTATATCTACTGGCCAGCTCCAGATTTCTTTAGCGTTTCATGGGTTTAACCTGAGTCAAAGCATCTCATTTTCTTGAGTAAAGAAAACTTATAATGGATTAATTCTTCTCTAACTTGAGATTTGGGATAATATTTCACAGATTTATAGATCTTTTAAAAAGGCAAAGACCATGTTTGTGTTAATAGACAGAATACTTGGTCCTGTTTGGAGTTACAATCATTCAGAACGCACTTTTAAAATACTGACCATACAATACAAGTACTTTCAGTAGAGACATATGACTGCATATTAATGGACACAAAATAACCAGCTTTCCTAATGTCACACATTAAAAAAAAAAAAAAAAGGTTGTTCATAGCTAGCTATATCACTGGAGGGATATTTTTCATTAGAGAATGAATCTACAGCCTGCCAATTGTAATGTTGTTGTGATATATCAAATGATAAAAAATAACCAAAAGGCTTTATGCTAACAATTAGAAAGGTAGGTGAAAGTGCTCTTGTACCGTAAATGAATGACATTAATGAAGCAGAACTCATTGATTCCAGCAGAGAAATTGTTCCATGGGATTACCCCTTTAAATGTGCAGCAGACTTTATCTGCTAGTATTCAAAGTCAAGGTTGCAATTTCTCTTTACAAGGAAGACCATATAATATTCTCATTTTTTGTAATTTCAAAACTCAGTTTTCATAAAAAATACATTTCATAAAATACAAGGAAAAAGACTTTCAGCAATGTAAAGAATTGTTCTAGCAAACAAAATATGGGAATATTTTCCTTCTAAACAACAAAACCAATATGCCTGGTATTTGTCAGATTTCTAAAAAGATTTCCTCACCAGTAGTCTATTTCTCCCTACATATACAGTAATAGAATGGGTAGATTTTTTTTTTTCCAAATAATAATAAACACTTCCACTAAAGATGAAACATCTTCAGACTATGGCTTAAAACACAGTATTAAATGACGAATTACGTTAACTGGAACTGAAGGTTAAACAAAAGCTGATGGCCGCACAAGTAGGCTGAGAAAGATGCTGCACTTCAACAACCTGACTCATGGGCCAAAACAAGCCACCCCAAACCCTCTGAAACATAGGCAGGAACTGGATGCTACCCAGACATCAGCTATTTTCTGTGCACCAAGATGTGACTTGTTTCCAGCAAGCTGTCAAAAACCTCCCACAGCTGACCCTTCTTTTCCATTAGTTTTCTATCAAACTATTTTTATTTTCTATTTTACAAAGGAAGAATTAAGTTTTGTAAAGTAAATGTTCCTACCAAAATGATTTCAGAAAATCCCCAATCTAAAAATTTTTACCGGACACGGCAGATCATAACCTCCTCATTCAGGAGATTAACATGCAGAGCATTCATCAGTATGAATCATATGAAGAAAAACAGTAGCTCAGCATAGCTGAACTCCCTGTGACTTGTTAAATGAGTAGTTGACCAAGCGGCACGACCTAGTGTGCCACATGCCAGACTCAAAGCCAGGGACCCAAGTTCTTATCCATCTCTGATGTCATTTTCCCCTCAGCAACGCTGGGTATAATGACACTTCACAAGTCTTTCCTTACCTAGACACTGTTAAATAAGGTTGGTAATATTTTTACAGCACTTTGAACAGACTATTTTTCCCTACGGAAGCATAGGAAAATTTCAGTCTTTATAATTTTTTTAAAATAATTTGCTCCTAACTGTGTGTAGGGGACGTTATAAAGATCATCACAATATTCTTTTTTGTCTCTAACACGGTCTCATTAATTTTGGCATTAAAGAGTAGATATTTCCTTGTTAGACAAACTATTCAAAAATAATGAGAAATCCAATAAAATAAAAAGGGGCAAATTCCATGTACGTACTTGACATCATCGAAGACACTCATCTGCAGCTTCAGGAGATCTGCCACTTCCTTTATTAAGTCCAAGCCCTTTTCCACACTCAGGGGGCTGTTGAAAGGGAGCAAGAAAACAGACCATTACGAAAATGGAACTCATCAATACTTGAGAGGTTAAAAGTCCCAAAAGAGTTATCACCTTGGCCTCTTAGAGTCTGAAAGCCACCACTAACTGTATTCCTGTCACATAGTGATCATGATATCAAGGGAATTGGGATCAGGTGCTTCTTCAGGCATGATGAATCACCTGAATTTTCCAGCAATAAGACAAACAATAAGGTGTAAATGGAATTGTTAGGAAGTGTAATGGGCCCATGATGCAGCAACCAGTTCATCTCAGTCCTCAATAAAAAATGTAATAAAGTAAAAGGACAGAAAGAGAGAAAAGGATTGACGAGACAAGGAGGGAAACAAACAATGAAAGTCAAATTGCAGGCTCAGTATCAAATGGACAAGGGAAAAGCATTTTTGTAAATTCATTAGTTTTTAAAATGAATCCGCCCAGTGAAAGGATACAAAATTATTATGAGTTTGAGAGTAAACAATGGAGCAAGGCACACAGTCCAGAGGACACTGATTAGATACACAGGATTTAGTTTGGTGTCTGCATGCACTGCTGACAGAACCCACTTTAAATCTTTTTAACCTTTGTCAATGCCACATTTACATTTTTTAATTTAGAAAACAGGTTGCAATCAAGCCTAACACAAGAGGACTGCTATAATTTAAAAAAGCACTTATCTAGATGCAAAATTTATATTTGCAAAAATTTCAGGTTATTAGAGTTGTTACAACTCTAAAGATGCATTAAGAACATTCTGTCCCTAATATACAGATCATACCTTGTTTAGTTGTTGTTCAGTACTGTGGAACCAAATACAAAAGTATTAAGAAAGTAAAAAAGATAAGGAAATGATATAACAGTGTCCAGTGAGAACAACACATACAACATTCTCTGTCTAAATTGTGATTATAGAATTATTCTCAACACTGTTAAAGCCGCAAAGATCATAAAATTAAACCCTACAAGCTTGATACTTATCTAACTTATGCCACAGTAAATCAGAAACAAGTTTGATGAGACTACCCCAGGGGAAAAAAGGTTCTGTATTTTTTCCTTCAAGGATTTATAATAAGTAGGAGAAGGAGGTGTCAAAAAAAGTATGTACTATTAGACATGATCTTTTCAACTGGACTAAGGGGAAAAAAAGATTTTTTCAAAGCTCTGTACCCAGGTTATTATTTCTGCTTCACAGTGAAAGTTTTTGAATCTAATTTTATATCACGGTAACCATTGCCACAATTTTATTTATTGTCTGCAATGAGCACTGTTTATTTATTTATTTATTGCAGTGGGTTCTGCATACACTGCCCTAAGGGCACCTCTATTTAAATAATGGGATGTCTCATGTGGATCTCGGTTAGGATGGAATTGCTCAGCCTCCCTTCATGCTACTAACCCAAAATGCTCTAGAGACCTCCTGTCACACAAGCAGAGGTAGCCCCTCAAGGCACCAGATAAATTTAGAGTTTTTCTAGGTGCCTAAGACAAAAATGTTCTTGTGTGAAAGTAACAAAAGAATCTGACTGTTTCTGTAAGGAAAAAAATGTACTATAGATTATTCATAAACCCCCTATATTTCAAGGACTGACAGTGGATAGAAATGTGATTATTCCCATCACTATGAAAGCAGATTGTCATAGTGACTCAGGGGCTTATGTGTTAATTAAATCTTTTCTCCCAAAGATGTTGGCTTAAGTTTTATGGAAATGATTGGTGTCAGCAAGTGGGCTTTTACTGTAATAGCAAGTCTATGCAGCGGCGCAGGCAGTCTGCTGCATACATTGGTGTAATTCTTTTACCAAGGGAGTCTCATTTCTAAAAGCTCAACCTCCTACTCCCTGCTTACCTCTCCTCCCCTGAAAAAGCATTCCCCAGCTTCAAAACCAAGGTATGCTGCTACAAACCAACGTAGTAACAGTAATGGGGGACGTACTCAGAGCATTTGAATGCTACAGTCCAGCAAGAATGCTGGAGAGAAAATTGGAGATAAAATGGTCTGGAAGGCCATTCTTTTGCAAGCCTGAGCATCCAGGACTACTCTTAGTAACTCTTATCCAATAACAAACTAAAACACATAGGTTCACAAACTCGCATGCAGTTTGTTAAGTCAAGAAATTGTCATTCATAACAGCACAGGAAAGCTGCAGAACCAGTACCTGTGTACTTTTCAAAAGCACGATGCTATCTATTGTCCTCTTTGGTACCAGTACTATTACAGATCATACATTTGAGGATTCATATTAAGAATGATTAATTTGTATCACAATATTTTCCAATACAATTTTTTCTACTTCTTAACATCGATACATACTAGTGCTGTTTATTACTGTTCTGTGACAGCTGTATTGTAGGAGAGTTGAATATTCAAAACCTTTCTCTAAAAATGCCAGAACATCGTTCTCCACACTCTATTTCTGCTTTGCTTTTGTTTAGTGTTGCATTTTGCTCAGTGTTGCATGGTTTGTACAGTGATTGCCTTTAGCTTTGTTTGCACAGAGAGAGTACACCCTTCCCACCAGCACAGTGTTAAGCAAACTACATGCTGCATTGCAACAGCACCATATGCCCACATCACCCATCTGATTTCAGGTTTATACAAGGACTGTTACCAGAAGACAACTTGCAAACATCACCTATCCTCCTGCCCGTGGTCTTCCCACATGTCCCTAGTGCAAGTATACAGTACTGGTGGAACAGCCCCTGTTCATGATCTTTCACGTACTATGCTTGGTTTTCTGCTTGCTTGATTCAGTCCTACATGGGAAGAAGTTGCCGTATTATGGACTGGTGTGTTTTTTTTTTTTTATGAATATGATTCATCGATTGATTGTGAGGGTTCAACTACTATGGAATTAATTCAAAGGAAATTGTTACATAAACCAAGAAAGACAAAAAATAGTTCTTCAGATAAGGAACAAATAGTGAGATACTCCAGACAAATTGTAACAGTAGAAAGAAGACTCTCTAGACTCAACCCTGATGATGAAACTATTTTATCAAGGCCAAAGACTTGGAGGAAAGCTAAGGGTGGGGATAGGGTTCTCACTACATTATTTGAACTGCCAAGATAGAATATAGAATAGAATAGAATAGAATAGAATAGAATAGTTCAGCCGGAAGGGACCCACAATGATCATCTAATCCAACTGCCTGACCACTTAAGGGCTGACCAAGTTAAAGCATGTTGTTAAGGGCACTGTCTAGATGCCTCTTAATTACTGCCAGGCTTGGGGCATCGACCACCTCTCTAGGAAGCCTGTTCCACTGTTTGACCACCCTCTCGGTAAAGAAATGCTTCCTAATGTCCAGTCTAATCCTTCCCTGGCGCAGCTTTGAACCATTCCCACGCATCCTATCACTGGATGCCAGGGAGAAGAGATCAGTACCTCCCTTTCCACTTGGTCATTTCAGCTCCTTATAGTGGGGGTGGAGAGAGGGTCCCCCCTTCCTGGTGACAGTTCTTGATGGCTCCAATTCACTCGGAGCAGCATGGCACAGAGTGAGTCTCTGGGCTACGGCCCCTCAGTTTCCAGACATGCTACAATACAGGTCCAACGCATATGCATTTTCTTTTGGGAGCCTGTGATAACACATTTCAGTTACACCAGTAATGGTGATCCCTTAAAAGAGAAATATCAACTTACATAGGCCTCAGACATACAAAGCATGTACTGGCAAAAAAAAAAAGCAGCACAAGATCTACCCATGGATGCTATTTATGCTTTGCAGGTTCTCTTGAGGCTAGCTAACACTTTCTATGCCAAAGAAAATGAATGGCTCCTGCAGTGTCTTTAACAGTCCTTCTTGATTTTACCGCTCCATTTTTTGATTGCCTTGAAGGTTGCTGAACACCTTCAATCTAGATTTTGGCCTTTGGAAGAATAAATTGTTGGATGGCATAGCACCTTTTTGCAGATGACATAGATGAGATAGCGCTTACTTTGGGTTTCCTCCCTTTGCTCTCATTTCACTTGCTGTAGATTTCTCCTTTGCATCTTCCTTCAAGTTAACTGTGCTAGGATATTATAATAGCAGCTAAAACAAAATGTGATACATCTCACAGTTTAAAAGAATTCAAGAGAATTCCTTTTTAGGTTTCCAGCTCCAGTTCTCTACAGCTTGGAAGATGAAAAGAGAGCTAGAAAGTATAGAAAATTCATGTAAAACTGTGCTGGTTTTGGCTGGGCTAGAGTTAATTTTCTTCATAGGAGCTCGTATGGGGCTGTGTTTTGGATTTGTGATGAAAACAGTGTTGATAATACAGGGATGTTTTAGTTACTGCTGAGCAGTGCTTACACAGAGTAAAGCCTTTTCTGCTTCTCACCCCACCCCACCAGCGAGCAGGCTGGGGGTGCACAAGAAGTTGGGAGGGGACACAGCCGGGACAGCTGACCCCAGCTGACCAAAGGGATATCCCACAGCACATGACGTCATGCTCAGCATATAAAGCTGGGGGAAGAAGAAGAAGGAAGGGGGGGACATTCGGAGTGATGGCATTTGTCTTCCCAAGTAACCGTTAGGTGTGATGGAGCCCTGCTTTCCTGGAGATGGCTGAACACCTGCCTGCTGATGGGAAGGAGTGAATGAAATCCTTGTTTTGCTTTGCTTGTGCATGCGGCTTTTGCTTTACCTATTAAACTGTCTTTATCTCAACCCATGAGTTTTCTCACCTTTGCCCTTCCGATTCTCTCCCCATCCCACCAGGAGGGAGTGAGCGAGCGGCTGTGTGGGGCTGAGTTGCCGCTGGGGTTAAACCATGACTATAACTAACTTCCGTTGCTTTATCTTCTAATGCCATGTCTATCTGTGAGTGCTAGCCTAAATATTATTTTTCAGTTGACAGATTCAGACCCTACTGAACGAGTAGCAGAACTCTGTCTCGCTCAGATGCCAATCTCTCTCTCATATTATTTGTAGAATATACTTTGTTTGACAGGTTAATAACACTGAAGAAATAAATGGGGAATGAAATATAAATATTTCCTTTG